AGATGTTTATAAGAGACAGATATATATGTATATATAAATAGAAATTCCAGTGAGAGAGCGTATCAACAGGTGCAAGCACCTCTAACACGACACGCTCTCCAAATGCACAAAACCCAACGGCAAATACATAAAAATATAATTCGAAAAGAAAAAAGAAATTAATTACACAGTTCAACATACGCTCTCGAGTAAAAGTACGCTCTCGAGTAAAAGTTATAGATATTTGAGCAGTACTGTATTTTACACTTCAAAAAAGTACCATAACTTTAAGTCTACCCCACCCCATGCCCTATAAACTATATTCATCCCTCCCATGTACTTTTCCACTTCCCAGCCATCAGTAAATTCTTGGAATGTATACTTTCTGGCATTTACAAGTAAAAACTAACCAAAATTCATAATCTGAATATTCATCCCTAAACGTCTATATTTATCTCAAGTTTGTTAGGATTTCCCACAAAAGTGATGACTTTCACTATTGGTTCCTCTGAGTGAGCATGTGGATTTTGCCCTGTTCATGTTTTTTTATGTTTGTTCTTTTTTTTAAATTTATTATTCCTGGAATAAATAAATGAAAATGAAATGAACTGAAAGAGAAATAATATTACAGATGAGGATATAAACTATTCATTGTTTTCCTTGAAAGATGTTCATTGCACTATTCTATTTAATGAATATAAATATGTTTGTTTTTCTGAGTGAGACAATTACCGGTAGTCGTCTTGTGATTCCAATGAAATGTATTTCAAGGAAAAGGGACTTTATTTATTGACCACCTATGAGCCTTACTTCTCAGTAATATAAACAGGGATTTTCAGAATTCATTGCCAAATTTCAATATTTAACCATTGTTCTCTCAATATTAACCGACAAATCATCATCTTAGTACGCAATTAGTCCCTCTACAACATGTAATGGTAGTTGTTTTTGGTTTGTCGTAATCTGTATTTGGAATAAACGCCTCCGTCGAATATATTCCCCCTGGACTGACTATAAACAAAAATAATGGAAGCAACATCATTCTCAACAGTGGAGTTGAATAGCTTGGTGGTTAAGATGCTTGCCTTCCAATCCCAGGGTCCTGGGTTCAATTCCTGCCAGTTGCAGGATTTTTTCTCACGACATAAACAACTCCACTCCCTAAATCTCATATTGAGATTTAGTTTGTGTAATGTAATCGTGTGTGTATGTTTGTTTTGTGTAAGGGATTGTCACCTACAAGTAGGACAGTGATATATATTCGCTATTGGCAATCCTTGGCACATGTGTTGTGTGCCTAAAGAAAGAATAATAATAATAATAATAATAACACATTGGAATGAAAAAGTCTTCATCAAGCAAGAACACATTTTGACGGTAAATATGTGTTGTAGCTTCACATTTATAGTAAAACTGAGGGGTGCTAATTTGAATATATATGTATCCATTTTACACCCTCGAATAAACACCCCTCAGAAACTCTTTTCAACAATAAAAGCACTGGGGTGTTTATTCGAATAAATATGATATTTAATCATTATTCTCTTCACTAAAAGTAAATAAATCAAAACTGTAACATTTTATGACCTTGTTAACTAAAGAAACTCAAACTATTCACCACCTTGAACAATTACAGTACTTCCTTTACAACATGTGCCGGTAGTCATTTCTAGTTTGTATATATTTCAATGGATTGAAGACTGACATACATCCTCAGCATTGAAGAATGATTTATCTGTCTACATGAAAGGCAGTAGTTCCTTATATAAACAGAGATTTTCTAATAATATATCATTATTCCTCCTTACACATGAGTATACTAAGGGCCCATTCGAGCGAAAAAATATCCGTGCGATTTTCCAGTTAATTCACCAGTACACACTTTCTAAAACCGCTCGGACACGCGCCTAATTACCTTACCATCTGGATTATCCGCGACAATTTTGACCACCAAATTGCTGGGTAGAATTCTGTGTATGAGATGGCATTGGAGCCGGAGACGATGATAAATCAACCTTAATTGCTTTGCCAAATGGTTCGTCCACAGCAAGTACCCGCTGTCGTCGCGCTCTTCTTCGCCTCCTCATGTTCACGGCGAAATCAAAGTTGGATTGGACAGTAAATCCATCCACATAACATCGCATCATTGTAGCCATAATGGTGGCTAGTAGCATAGCTACACGTTCAATTTGTAAAATTACCATTACAGTACAGTATTCAGAGGATTAAACTTCAATACAAATCGTTCCCGTGTATCAAATCGTTCCTTTTGATTTGTCATGTTTTGATTTTGTTTGTTTTCTTATATTTTTCTTGGACGCACCATTTTCTACGTGTGCCACTGTTGTAAAAGTGTAGCTTCCAAATAAAGAATATATCGTTTAAACAAGCAGAAGTAAACAAAGAATGGGTTGATGGGATTGGTGTTTCTGAATGACCTTACAAAATTACTTCCGGAATAGTTTCGTTACACGGTATTCGACATGAGCTAAAATTTGCTCGGACAGTGGACCACCCGCTGTGTGCTTGGCGCGATTAACCGGTGAATTTACCGGTATACGGTTTGCGTTTTTCGCTCGAACGGGCCCTGTCTCCAAAAGTTAAAAAAATGCCATAAGTGCTGTCACCAGTATCAAATTTTCTTTTACAAAAAACTATAGTATGCCCCTAATGTGCTATTGAATCTGAATCCGACATTGTATATAACATTGTTTTTTTAATCTATTGCTTCAAAAAAACATTGTATCATTAAAACATTATCTATTATCATTAGTGGTAGGGTATAAATGGGTGATATTTCAAATACCAAATTTAAAGGTCTTACGCCCCATCCAGAATATTACATGTGACATGGCTAAATATGGTCATGATGACATCACATCATGACCATATATAGCCACATCATGACTATATATGGTCATGATGACATCACATCATGACCATATATAGGCACATCCTGACTATATATGGCCATACAATTTTTTTTTTGGCCCATTAAAAAATTTGATTGTCTGGACAAAGCCTAAATGAAATGGTTTATTGTCCAAAACATAAGTGGCAAAGACAAGCCAAACCAGTCACTTGTCGCAAATCTTGTTTCAGAGATAATGGCCAAAACATGCTGGAATGTCAAAAATTTGGAAACCTATTCTACTGCACTGAAACTAACCTTTATATATATATATACATCATGCTATCCTGTTATTTTCCCCCATTTTCAATGTTAAAAAATTAATTTTTAATGATTTGGTGATGGTTTCTGCCTGAGAAATGCCCAAAATCAAAACTTCAAAGGCTGATTTCACAAATATTGTTCTTCAAACAGCTGTATATTTAAACTCCTGTAACTTCATAACGAAATGTCGTATTTAAATTATTCTTTTACCATAGCTCTCATTTTACTGTTTAACTCTGTATTATTAACTAAAAATTGATTTTTGCGATGAGTGACGGGTTTTGCTTGTCTTTGCCACATTTGTTTTGTACTTGTTTTATAAAGAGAGATATCACCATTTCTTCTTATAAATCATCATTTACGTTTACAGGGTTACATCTTGCTAAATGCTAATAATGCTAAGGAAGACATTATCATTATTTCTCCTTACAAACCATCTTTTATGCTTACATGGTTACATCTTGCAAAAGACTAACAAGTCCGTCACTGCAAGGTTTTTATCTTTTAGTTTTGAAATTAATTTCTTAGATTTTAATTTTGTTTGTCAATTCTTAATATATATAACTATTCCATGTGAATTTCATTATACTAATTTTCCATGCATTTGACCTATAACTGGGCAAAATCTCTTGCCTACCAAGGGAGTGCGCTGCTGGGGTTTATCGCATTTTCCAAAATCACCTGATGATGAGGTAGGAAGATTTATTTCCAGCGAGAGTCCTTGACAAGAGGGGTGTCTAAAAATATATCTTGGTTAATTACTTAAACATGAAGGTTTAAAGCCGGGCCTTTCAATGAAAGAATCCAACTCCATTCCCACTGAGTGCTAGAGGATGTGAATCCGTCTGCTGGTTGTCGGAGGTAGTCTGAACGGATCCTCATTAAAAACAATCCGTTGCGCGCACGTCGGGCGATTGTGTTCTTCGTGGAATCGTGTCGGCTGATGTCCGTCAGGCACAGTGTGCCCAGCTTAAGGGGAACAGTATACTATGTCTGTGAAATGTCCACACAGGCTTCGTTGTCATTACACGATAACGAAATACAGTTTTTCTATGAACTGTACATATCAGGCAGTACAGCTGGATGGAATGAACAAAAAATATGGTTGGGGGGGGGGTTTCCAAGGTAAAAAAAACACTTATGGGGATCAGGGGGAGAAGCTCTCTGAAGCTGAAGAATATAGCAGGTACATGGTGGATTTAATTATCATTTTTATGGTTTTCAATGCAAGTAGAGAATACTTGGATTTATCGGACTGTTAGCTCAAAAAAGGGGCTTGGTGAACCATAGGATGACCTTGGTTACAGGCTTGACACCACAAATACAGATAATCATACGCACCTTTTTCTTCATTTGTTAATCCTGCTAAGAGTTGATAAAAGATGTGATAATTGTCCCCGGTTGCTGGCGGTTCAACAATACGACACTGATCCGTCCAATAGCAGTGGATCTTTGTGCGGTAGATAGCGCAGTCGGACAACAGTACCTCAATGTATTGACCCTATAATAATAAAATATTAAAACAAGGTTGAGAGAAATTTAACATCAATGTGTCGAACAAGTTCAAACCCAGCAAACACAAAACATTCTTATAATGTTCACAACCGTTGTGGATAGGTACGTCTCGAATAATGTTCACACGGTATGTCCCAAAATAACATTTAAGCAAGTGTGAATGCTATTTCAGGACATACACGTTGCAGGAACATTAAAACGCTATGACGTTGTGAAATTAGGTTATCAGTACTAAATTAGGTTACAAGTACTAAATAACATACAAAATAGCATTTTTAATACCCAACTGTAACCTTATTATAACGTTCTTATAATGTAATATTGTTAGCTGGGAAGTTATTGTTTCATTGTATATATATTATTTAGGTTCGCACAGATGATGAGAATTGCATTCTTGAAACATGTATAGTATCCTTCACAATCGGGCTTCACGATGGAGCTCGCTATCAAGTTCACAAACAAAGTCAGTTTGTTGCATAAGTAAATGCCTTGCGGTGTTTTATAGATATTATCTATGATATATAATACATTGTTTTTAATTTACATTTAAATTGGGTAAGCATTCAGTAATATTAAAACTTTCGATTCACATAAAAAAAAAATTGGTAAAGATTTAGTAAAATTCATCTAAAATTTAATTTCAATGCAAATGTACTCATTTGTAAAGTAGTTGAAAAAATTCAATAAAATATGGAAATTGAAAAAGAAAATTAATATCGCCAAATTTCAATACAGCTGCTAGTCAATTTCAGCTGGCCACTTTGTTTTATATACATAATAAATAGGTAGAGAATTTCATGAATTGGTTGGTCTGCAAAACACTAATACTGTAAGTCTGTCACTGCAAGGTTTTTATCATTTAGTTTTGGAATTATTATTATATATCTTACAAAATAAACAAGTAACTTGAACTACCTACTGTATACTCTAACCATATCCAGAGGCAAATGTATTATTGTCCTGAGCCTTTGCACTTGTTTTTATTTAAGGAAGACATTATCATTATTTCTCCTTACAAATCATCTTTTATGTTTACATCTTGCAAAACACTAACAAGTCCATCACTTCAAGGTTTTTATCTTTTAGTTTTGGAATTAATTTCTTAGATTTTAATTTTGTGTGTCGATTCTTAATATATTTAACTATTCCATGTGAATTTCATTATACTGATTTTCCATGCATTTCAATGCAAATGCACTCATTTCTAAAGCAGTTGAGAAAATTCAATAAAACATGGAAATTGAAAAAGAAAATTAATATCACTAAATTTCAAAAATGAAATTGCACTACAAAAGATAGAGAGTAAAAAATACAATTCACCCACTCAGACGAGTGTCTGGTGGTGCTGGAAATGGCACAGCTGCTAGTCAATTCCAGCTCGCCACATTGTTTTTATACGTAATAAATAGGTAGAGAATTTCATGAATTGGTTGGTCTGTTGCAATTTCTTCCTACATTGAGAAATGAGAAGGCTGACTATGCAATGTAAAAAAAAAAAAAAAAACAGTAGAAAAAAAAATATATTCATTGATTTGATTTTCTTTGATGCAAAATTTATATATAACAATTGTTGACTGAATTCATACTACATTTTTATTATTTGTTGATTCAATTTTTCAATTTATTTTATTATTTGATAGGTAGCATATAGCTGAATTGCATCAAATTTACCTTTAAAAATTCAATAAACTAAAAAAACCAAACAATAGGTTCTTTGAAACAAGGTTAAAAAAAAAACTCTTTTAAAAAAATGTATTGATAATAGACATGGTGTCTGGGATTATTCCAATTGTCATGCATACCAGTGCATCAGGAGACATTAAAACTAGGTCAGACAACACATTATCTCGTTGAGAAAGTCTAAAACTCTCATCGACAGAGTGGGGTCATGCATGGGTAAAAGCTTATTATTAGACGTTGGTCAGATCAGTAACGGTAATGTCCTGTTTGAGTTTGTTTTGTTCTCAGAATGTTTATTTTCCATCACATTTTTACGGTGGCTCAGTATCATTCAATTACAGGTCTCCCTCCAATGAAAGACCCCTCCAATTAAGGACCACCTCAAATTAAAGACCACTATTCTGTGGTGCCAAATTAACAAATTTATTTTATCTTTACTATTCTAATGAGAGACCAAAGCTGCTAGACCACTGAGGGTGGTCTTTAGTTTAGTTTTTTTAATGTATTTCTATATATCAGGTTAAATATGTATTCATTGTTTTCAGCTATTGTGATGACCGTTCTGTGTGTGTGTGTGTGTACAATAATGTTCACATCTTGTAAACAAATAAGTTTGAAGACAGTGCTCGTCGTTGGGTCTCTTAATTTTTCGTCATGTAGGGTTTTCAAATTCACCACCGACTCCCAGCACAGATTCTCTATTTTCCCCCTGTGTGTTGCAACATTGACATGAAGGAAAACTAGACCTTCTTGGTTAGATGAAGCCATGTATATACATGGTTTTTTCTAATTCTGTTTGAAGAAAAAAATCTTACCATTCGACTTGAGTTGGCATTGAATTCTGTTCTAGCGCTGCTCAGAGATTGGAGGACAGTAAACCCTGCTGTTAAATGCTGTAGTAAAATGAAAAGAATCACAGTTGATCATCAAGTTTAAAGGAACAGTGTGAGATTTTTTTTTTTTTTGACACATAACACCAAATACAAAATGCTTGCCACTCCAAAAGAGCATACTGTCACTAATTGTTAAATCAAACACTTAGCATAAGAATGTGGCAGTGTATACTTTAGTACACAGAAACTGAAATACTTTTAATTTTGTTGCTAAGTAAATGCAGCCCTCTTTTCTTTCTGCTAATGATGGAAATTGTATCACTAATCAGAGTCCAGTCATACAATATTCAAGATTCAAAATAATTTTATTGTCTGAAAAAGTCAGAAATTACATTCCACTGGCAGTGTTACAAGTACACGTGTCTGTCATTTTTATGCATTTGGTTTATTTATGCCTACTTGTTTATATCTTATTCTTATGTACAATGGCAACAATTTTCTACCTCTGCAAAAGGAGGTTATGTATTCACTGTTACGGTTTATGTAAGTTTGGCAGAAGTTTTTTAGGTCCAGTCATATGCAGAGCACCAATTGTTTGTATTCCCACCACGCATTTTGGTGGAACAGTATTTTTCTGTGGAGAACTCTATCTTGTGTTTCTAGTATCTTTGGTCCCTGATGACCTATCTGTCAGAAAAAAAAACGATGAACCACCAGCCACTGCTGTTTTTATATATCTTGTTATTGAGCCTATTAAGCAATCTTAGGATCATACAAGATACAAAATACAAGATTCTTTTATTGTCACTAGTACACAAAATACAAGTAAAATTTGTCTTGTTTTTGTCTTAATTATCAAGATCGTAGACTATGTTTTCAGTTTTTCAGCCATTCATTCTTATTGGGTATGGTATTAAGTACTGCATTTCAGTTATGCCTAAGGGGGCCAACAAAGAGACGTTGGTGTCGCGGCTCTGTTCCTACCAATCCTTTCACCACTATAAACAAGAATCGTATTATCAAGTTTTTAGAACTAATCAACATGGCTCTAAAGAGTACATACACTCATTAAGAGACCCGATAAGAAGAAGAATTTAACCAACAAGATTTATTTTAAAAAATGAAGAGGATAATTAATTGTTACTGACAATTTGAAGACATTAATATTTATTACAGCAAAATATTGAAAGACAGTGAATGACATGAATTATGTATTGTTCCTGTAATACCATGAACACTGTTTGCAATAAAAACTCTAGTTACCAAGAAATCTAAGACGTTAGTAATTAAACTCATCTAGATGCAAATATATAGTGCTCATCAATTTTCTAATTTCAGTAGATGAACACAATGCTTACCATATAAACTCGTTCATTCGTTCATTCCTAGTTTAATTAAATTTACAGAATGACAGGAATTGTAATATTCTACTCAACTAATAACGAAATAAATACTGCAATGCTTTAAAAATAGATGTCCTAAACAGAGAGACTATTTGAGCGGTGCTTCATTGAAAGCGTTGCTTTATTCGAAATAGAATTTGATCTTAAGTAACACTGTGGAACATATCAGTGAGCAGCGCCTAACGAAATATCTACAACCAGCAAAACATTTATTTAAAATACAATATAATGATCCCAAATAAGCACTGTGTCATGTATCTATGAGCAGTGCTAAAAAAAATACCGTAAGCAGCAAAAAATTTATTTGGAATAGAATATGATAACTGTGGCACGTATCTGTAAAAAGCGCCTAACTATATATCAAAAAGCGGCAATACATTTATTTGAAATAGAATATGATCTCAAAATCAAGTTAGGTGTTATGCTTATTCGATAGCAGCACTCATTAGGAAAGACTTACTTTAAACCTTGTTTCGCAAACTTATTTTTTTAAAGATCGCTAGAGGAGGGTGGAAAAAAAATTTTAAATAAAATTTTGTTTTCTTATGTAGCAAATAGTTTTGCCAGAAACAACCAGACAGAGGAGAAAAAAAAAATTTGAAATAATTATTATTGGCAGGCAGTGGGTTTGCCAAACAAGGTTAAAAAGTCTGGCCTTAGTGAGAGTTAGCATCATTCTGATTATTAACGGTGCCTTTCAATAACTGTTACCTTGAACGAATCAGTTTCGTTGCCTCCTCCGGCCAAATGGAAAAGCTGTCTTAACGTTGCAAGAGCTGTGTGAGTTTTTCCACTTCCACCGGTGCCACTGAGAAAAAAACAAAGTTTGTAAAAAACAGGAAAGAAGAAATTAGGTAGCGAGAAAAGAACTCAATAACGGTGATAAGCCTGGTTCATGTTGAAATTTTATCTAGATATAGATCTACTTAACTAGTTAAAAGTTCGACGTAAACCTCTTGTTGGCAACAACGTATTTCAGCAATGCTAACAACAGCAGCAAAGTAGTCTCATTAGTCTGGTTTTCATAAAGTATTTGTATTATTATGGGTAAAAACCCAGCAAACATCCGTTTTACGAATAGTCGATAATACCAACGACCTTTGCCCTTGGCATCATCGACCAAGTAATAACGTTAAAAAGTCCAATTGCATACGTTTTTCAAAGTGATAATGTATATTTTTCTTAATAAAATCAGATTTGTTATTTATTGACAATTCAATCTTTTCTATTTCTGCTATAATAGTCGCTATTAATTCAGTTTCAACGAACTACCACCAGGGAAAATCGCATCATATTTCAAGATTTAGAAAAAGTGGCTTAACTTCAAAGTGAACCTGGCTATAAAGTTCAATACACTGAATATTTTCAATAGTGGATTATCTTGTCATCATTTAATCAATTCGTGTTTTAAGCTAACTTGATCTAGTTTAAGGCGAACATTCAGTACTGCTTTCCAATAAGCAAATCAAATAATTAGGAAGAAATATACATACTGTATGTTATTTTTTGGAGATTTCAAGGCTGCGGCAGGCCTAATAAATATTTTTAAAAAAAAAAAATTCCATTTTTTCGTGGTGGCGGGTGTGCTAACTGGCAAAAATTAAAAACTGGACAAAATCAAAAACAAGAAGTTGTGATAATATTCTAAAAAGCCATAAAGTTTATACACGAAGAGGGGGAGTAGGTAGCGAGAAAAGAACTCAATAATGTTGATAAAGTTCAATATACTGAAAATTTTAGTGGATTATCATTTAATCACTTCGTGTTTAAGCTAACTTGATCTAGTGTAATGCGAACCTTCAGTACTACTTTCAAACAAGCGAGTCAAATAATCAACGTAGAGACAAAAATAAAACAAGAAGTTGCAACAATATTTTAAAAAAAGCCTTTATCATGAAGATTGCATAAAAGGCGGGAAAAGAGGGAAGCAGGTATTGAGATAATTAAACATCATCTATATTCAAAGTATCTAAACCAAAGCACACTTCGCTATCAATTAATAACTTTGTACGTGACCATGACCAACGTACGCAATAACTAGTATATAAACAACGAATAAATCATTAAAAGACTAACATACAATATAATAATGGTTAATAAATCCTATTAAATCAGGAGTTTTAAATTTAGAGTAATAAATACTTCTGTGACTTAATCTGTCATCTGTTAAATCCATCTTTTTCTGCAGACACAATCATGAATATATTCAATTTCATTTCATAATAAGCTTTTCTTAATAAATCCTTTTAAATAAGGAGTTTTAAATTTAGCTAGTAGATATTTATGTGACTTGATCTGTCCAAATCTGTTAAATCCATCTTTTTCAAAATCACTTTACTGCGCATGCAGACACAATCATGAATATATCCAATTTCATTTCATAATAAGCTAAATTTTCTTACCAGAAAACTACACTTTGTGATGTGTTGGTGTCAATAAATTTATCTAACACCTTCACTGCGATACAACCGATCACTGAACTTGTGTTAGATGTATACTTCTGTTGGAGAACTTGGTTCAGTTGGGGGCCAGTGAAAGAGTTCACGACGAGAGTGATGGATCCTATTTTAGTCTGCATTAATGATAAAATCAGTCACATTTTATTAATCACCCCTTTCATATAGTGTACTCATCAAAAGCCATTTAGTTTAACAAGGATTGTGGTGAAAAGCTTCCAAGAGTAAAGTCCTGTGCAATTGCAGAGACACTGATGTCTTTTTAAAATTTACAAATTCTTCAGTGAGTTAAAAAGTCCATTTAATGACATTTTTACTTGTTATTATTAAATTTCTCAAAAAAATAACCCCCGAATAAAAGAAATCACACAAAAAAGTCAAACAAGACTTGGAAACAGGTAATAATATTAACTGATATTAGATTTGGTATATGAAGAAAAAAATCCACCATTGATAAAATACATTTTTCTATTATGTTCTCCTAAATTTCATAACTTTCATACCATATTTAGGCCATTTCTCCATCTATGATGTAAAATTTTCATTATGGCATCTTCCGTCAGCGGTACGGTCATGTGACACAGGTCATCCACTTGAGAGAGTTGTTGCTGTGACCCATACTTTCCTCTTCTTTGTCTTTCCCTCTCCCCTTCGTTCTTTTGCATCCTACTTAATTGGCAACTCGGACATGAACTGGACGATTCACTAAATTCGGACACTGTATCTGTACCTGATTCATATTCCACCTCTAAGAAAATAAAGAAATTTAAAATTGAAAGCAAATAATAACAATAATAATAATAATAATAATAATAATAATAATAATAATAACAACAAGATAACAAATATAAAATACATAAATGTACATCAATCGGTGTTTTTCACAAGGCCATTTTGGCTTATCAAATTGTAAACAAAATATATATTTAAAGAACAATATTTCTAAACTATTTAAATAGTTTCATCTGGTTATCTTATAATGATTGTACAACTGTTTAATCGATAATAAACCAAGCATAATTTGATGTGCCTTAATGCGAGCATGTAACAGAACATGAGTATGAGACAGTAAAAGGTAAGTTTCTGAAAAACAGTGTGTTACAGAATAACAGAAGATGATTAGCAAAGGCCATGATCAGAATTTTGTTACCTTCATAGGCATATTATGATTGAAAGTAAACCTAATGAAAGTATGTCGTCCATACCTAAGAATAGACAAAACAGATGGTAATGTAATCCTAGCAAAGTATTTGCAGATGATGTCAATGATAATGTTATTTAAAGAATGCAATGTTATAAATTTCATGTTAAACATGCAATGTGATGCTTACCATAGTTATGTACTAGAATATAAACCCAACTACTTTACACCCAACTATATATAAAAGGGTTACCTGGGAAAAAGCTACAGTAGAATTTGAATGAGTATGTACAGTATATTACAGGCCCCACCTCTTCCCCAGCCCAAAAAAATTGCCCCAATTTGAGTGTAAGGGAAGTACTTTCACCAAGAGAACTACATAAACAACTAACTGGAAAGATAGCAAGCATATAATGAACGTAGTAATGATTGCAGACCGAAATGCTCTGGGTCAAAAAGGATTCCTTGCTGACGCAATTCTATGGTGAACGGAATGTCACACCGTGCGCACAATAGATCGTTTTTAATGACAATCCGTTCAGATTGCCACTGACAATCTGCAGATAGTATTGTGTCATTTAGCGCTCGTACAGCCGCAAGTTATTATATTGGGTTTCTTGGAAGAGCTAATGAGATAGAAATTTTTAAATAATTAGTATATTTATTTGTACAAAAAAAATTATTATTTAGAATGTTCATTTGTACAAGATTACAATATCTCAAAATTGAAAAAATATAAAATTTCTTAAAATTGGAAGAAAAAAAATTGAATACTAAGACATGATTCCAATTCACAACCATAAGTTCTTTAGAAGACATCCTTAACGATGCTGGGTGCTTCTAAAGTTTTGGTAACAAAAACAAGAGCAGCAGTGAGTCTCTTGCGTCAGCGTCCTACTGAATCTTAAATAATTTTTTATCTAGTTTCTGTGATGTAAGAACATGAATAAAATTCTTGTAAGTACTACATTAAGTATACGTACTGTTTGTGACGTTTCGGTTTGTTATCAACGAAGATGATGACGATAAATGTGGTACAAAATTGGATGCCTAAGTTGTAACTCAGTCTACATCGGCGAAACATGGCAGACCATTCAAAACCAGGTTAACAGAACATACGAAAGACAACACTAAAGGAGTCATCGCCAGAGCTGCTCGGGCTTCCCTACTGTATCCACATAGATATACAACACAAATTAGCAGTCACAGATCATATGATCAAACTCAACCATATCCTCGACTGGCAAGGTGCAAAAGTCATCAGAACTGAATGCCACTAGCAAAAAAGACCAATATGACAAGCTACTTGTATAGAAAACATAACATGAACAGAGGAAGTAGGCGCATATAAATTATCTAATATTTACAAACCAGTCCATAAACTACTAGTAGAGTGTGGCCCACTACATCGGGAAACGCCAACAACTAGCTAACCAGTCATTGTCTGAATATTCTTTGATAACGGACCGAAACATCATAAACAGCACGTACACTTAATAGTTTACTTACAAGAGTTTTATTCATGTTCAAGTCCTATTCATTCTGATTTCTTAAAGTATTTTTTTCTGACTGATTTCAATTTCCTTAATCTGTTTTACAAACCCAATAGCACCCCACAAAATAGCAAAGCAATTTACGAAACACTGTACAAGTTAACGTGATCGTATATATTTACGATAACATCTTGCACAACATAAAAATAGAATTTAGATCTCAAATTGGATTGTTAAACATGAAATTCAATCTGTTTAGAATAATTATCTTCCTTCTTTACAGGCTGTTATGACATAGTGTCCGACTTGCTTTTCAGAAAGAGAGAATAAATATTTTGAGAGAGATTTATTTCCTATCATGCTTGAAATATTCCATTAACTGAAGTATTCAGTTCTAATATACAAATAGCCAAGTTAACAACATAGCAAATAAAAGCCTAAAGACTGCAATTTAGTACAGTATTCACTTGGGACAACTGATCCCAGTGCCTAGGGCAATCCAAAAAAAATTCCGAAAGGTGTCAAAATATTGCTATCACCTCTGTTGACTCATAAGCGATCTTGTTGTTTCAGCAAGTATTCATGATAACCGCAGAAAAAGTGGCAGATAATCAAGCAAGTCCATAGTGACTTTGCAATTGCGAGTTGTCGCAGTTTGAGATTGATGTCTGGTTCAAGCAAGACTGTCTTGCTATGATGTATTTGCCCATTAAAATTTCACTTCGGGACTTCCATGATATTTGAACCTTCAAATTAATTTAATTAAAAAAAAAACTGACTGACTCCTGTTAAAATATAGTTGAGAATTCCTGATCAATTGTCCTGATGGTTGCTTTAGTGGAGCCAGTGTGATATTCTATTAATGTGAACAGCTTCGCTGACTGTCAACCAGTTAACAAGGCTGCGTACACCCAAGTGAAATGTTTTTACTGGTAAATTTTTTTCATATATTGCCAGCTAAGCGCACCGCAACATGAGGTATTGCTACTAAGTGGAGTTCAATGGCTTCAAAAAACAATAATACATAATCATAGTCTATGCCTGGACTGGAATGATGTTTGTTATTAAAAGATGGTCAGCCTAGACTACCTATGCCTAATAAGTGCATTTTTTATTCTACCAACACACAATTTTTACTGGGTTGGTTAATTATCTTTAATGGTATGGTATAATTGACGGCCAAAACAACTTTGGGAGAACACCGAAGAGGCAATTGTACTGGTTTTACTTGGAAAATTTGGTTATGACTTACAGTACTGTTAAACCAATGAAATCTTACCAACCTGTCACACTTGCTTAAAATACTCTTGAAAAAGGAAAGCTTTCAGATTGCTCCTCAACACATTCACAGTTGGTGAGTTTCTTATTTCAAATTTGAGCTAATTAGCGATACCTTGCACATTAACTGACCATTTGTTTAGCATCTACTGAATTGGGTTTAATTGTCATTTTAAAGCTAATAAATGGCTCTATAACTTTATTAATAACTCCTCTCATCAACCATAAAAAAAGTTATTACAGATCATAAAGTTCAAAGTATAAAATTTTTCTTTTATTCCAAATTCAGAGATACATTATGATGTGAAGTTTAGTGATGACAGTTTCTGACTAGTGAGCAATTATATGATTGACTTGTTTGAGAAAACAGCTTAAGAGGGTCAAATTCAGCCTACTTAATGGGAAGCTTTGACTACGTCTGAATGCTAAGGAACAAGTATTCAAACACAGTACATTATACTTAAAAAATTGGACTTGTAATGTCCTGACCAGAATATAAAGATTGACCAAAAAAAGTTGTCAATAATATAATTTTATATGTTATGCTTTCTGAAAATGTGGAAAAACAAAAATGTTGGAAGATTTACTGTGGAAAAACATTATTTGTGGGCCAATTATTAATAATAATATGACAAATATGTAATGCAGGACTTTCGAAACCAAAGCTTTTAATTTCTGAATTGAAAATGTGGAGTTGAATAGCTTTAGTGGATCATTCCTGATGATGACATAATTAATGTCGAAATATTGAATCTCGACACAATAGCATGCTGCATCTGTTGCATCAAGAAACAAATAAAATAAAAAATAAGATTCTTGCGTTCTAATCACAGGGTCCTGGGTTCAATTCCAACTCAGCATTCACATGACTAACAACTACTCCACAATAACAGACATGGCTTATAAAACATCTTTTAATCCTGTAAGTTACAAGGGAACTTCTTTTTGTGTGAAGGAAATTTAAAAAATTAAAAAAAACACTACACTTTACCTTTTCCTTAGCAGAGGAAAAATGTTTTCTTTAGACTGAATATATTTCTTAATTTACTATTAATTTATTATCAGTCCTATTAATTTTGTAAATAATTAAAATCGAAGGGTTTAATATTCAAACTTACCAATTCATTTTTGAATAAATACAATATCCGGCAAACGTGTTTATAGTATATTTTCCTATCAAAGAAATTGTTTTCATTGGACTAGGCTTCCTTCTATACTGTACTACTTTAACAACAGGCTACTTGGTACAGTTTCGACTTGTGATACTGTTGGGTTGCGTCTATGTCAGTCACAGAAATTGCCTTGGCGCATATTGTCATTTCAAAAAAGTAATTCCTACCATGCCAGTCACATCTGTAGCTCCAGGCTCTGATTGTCGTTGGATCAATGGATACGTCGAACAGGCCTATTTGCTAAGCTGCCCTGTTTAATTTCTCCCCATGGCATTTCTAATTATGCACCTAAAAAACGTTGATCTCACTGAAATACTGATTCCAAATTGATCACAATGGTATGCAAACACGATAAAGTCAACACCTAAGCAGCCGTGCTATAGTTATTATTTGTCCTTCAAATTCACACAAGTGGAGGCCTATTTAAAAGCACAGTGTGAGTTCAATTATCTGACCAACAATATTGTTAAAGAATTCAATAGATCTTGGCTAATTTAGGTATACAGTAAAAGCTTTTATTATGGATCAGCTGCTTTTAAGAAACACACTCAACGATTTGGAATGATGTTTCATCCCCTGTATAAATTTAATAATAAACTAATTTAAAGCAAAATTTCAATTAAAACTGTTAAAGGTTCTTTGAATTAACATTAAGAATAAAATT